TCTTTTAGAAAATAATATTTTAAATCTGAACTAATAGAAAATTTCAAACAAGAAATTTTCTTTTGCAATTTTTATGCTTTTTATTGGTGTAAATAAGTAAAAAATACTAAAATATTTAAAAACGGATTTTTGAAAGTTTTGTTTAAAATTCTAAATTGTGCTGCTTTTTTAAAAAATAGATGAGTATTATAGCACAATTTCTATAAAGGAATTTTATTTCAATTATATTTCATAATACATCATTGTGATAAACACTTTTGACTCTTTAATTTTTATAAATTTAATTCTAATATTAAAATTGTATTTAACCGTAATAATTAATTTTGCTTGTATTTTATAGTGATTATTTTTAAAATTTATTTTTAGTTCTGCATAAGATTTTTTTATTTACTCTTAATTTAATTTATTAGCTCGAAGCGGCATTTTGCGCTGTTTCACCATAAATGTCTGTGTCTCCTTGCCAATTGTTGTTACCAAATATTATCGCCCTGTATTATATTTAAAGAAATTAAATAATGAAGAATTTGCATGAATACATGTATGTTTCTCGGAATGTGACAAAAACGACGGTATCTAGAGCCATCAAATTTTGGATAATGTAATCCTCCACCCGAACATGGGCATCTGGACGGCCGAATTTCGAATTTGTTTTAATCTATTTCATATTTTGTAAAACTTTAATGAATTTTTGATTAACAAACTCAACGAGTTCAAAGCGAGCTATGGTAACACTGTACAGAAAATAACAATTTTATCTGCAGTGTGGAAATTCTAAAGATATGCTGTTTTCAATTGTATGCGGTTTACTGGCGAAAAACATTATATTCAATAAATATAGGTAACGCACAAAACGTTTAAAAAAGGTTCCTTTTGGGCGCAATATAAAATCCGAGTGCTTCTAGATTTTATTTTATCATTTTTTTCCTTCATTACACTCAGAAAATATTATGCTTCGAAATTTATAAATTACTAAAATTATTAATCCACTTTAATGTTAATAATTTAATTATGATATAATCAAATGAATAATCGTTTTGTAATGTTATTATAGTTTTGAAAATCACTGCCTGAAAATGTTCATTAAATTTTTTAAAAAAATTATCAGATCTTGTTTAATTTTACCTTATTTTTTCAAAGCATTACGTACTATCAATCTTATTTAATTTTACTTTATTTTTAGGCTGCTATCACACGTCGGTTTGTTTCGGAAGAACAACTGTTTGGAAAATTTTTTCTGCTTTGTCACAACAGCCAATCACCATAGATCGCTTTGGGGTTAACACAGGGAAAACTGGTTCCCCATTACAAACAAGCTGATAGCATTCGAAGCTGGTAGCTGATTGGTTGCTGCAATTTTTTTGGAAAGGAAGGAAAAAGTCGCACGTCTTACTTTCAATAGTAAACCAGGCAGAAAAATTGTCCGAAACAGTTGTTCGTAGGAAGCAAACGCCGTGTGATATGGGCTTTACGCAAAATTAAGTTCATAAATTTTGTGCTTAGAGTTTTTACCGTTTTACAAATTAAATGTTTTTAGAATAGTTTTTACCGTTTTACCAAAGTAAAGATGTTTGTATACGAATTACGCGTGAAAAAAATGCGTGAAATGCAGTAAAAAGTGCTTTAATGATATATATTAAATCCTATTTGAAAAAAAACTGTGACTTGCATAATCTCATCACTTTACAATGTATCACATTTAATAATTAAAAACAGTTATGTGATACAGACGCCATAGGTTTCAATATTAAAGTAAAGCAGATCTTTTTGCGGACATGTCGGTGACGCGCGCCCCGCCCACTGGGTTAGTCTATTTCTTACAAGGTATAAGGTCCATGCTTAACTACTGCTTGCTTAGAAGAACAGGAATTTTCCCAATCGCAACATTCGAAACTGGTTGCCAGATTCATACATCGAACAAAATTGCAAAACAAACTCTTAAATAATAATAAACAGGAAATGCTAAACTTAATAGGAGTCACAACAGTCTAGGTGTATCCTGAAAGTTTGTCACCACTGTACTAATACACCCCATAGATATACAAAAGTATTATCTTATGGCATAAGATCCAGACTTTTGAAATTTTGCAAAATGGCTCAATCTTGTCGATTGTATATGGTGCCTATGAAAGTAATGAGAAGTGAATCTATGAACAAGGGGTTAAGTTTTGAATGATGAAGGAATCTTACGTTCCTAGATACTGACAAAGCTTATGAAAAACAATTTTCTGTTGTATTGGAGGATAGAATGTACTGGCATATCCCCAGAGTAATCCAGATTTAGCCCCTACTGTTTTGTAATGTCATCGCAGCAATTTTAAGAGAAAATATAAACCCTTCTTTGAAGAAGAATCAAAACAGCTTCGATAATTCTGGGAGAGAGACATTATAGCATAGAAGATAGTTTACTAGAATGCATAAAAATATTTTTTTCCTTCTTGTAAGCACTATTTTATTTGTATTGGTCTATGATGTGAATTCAGTTGAAGAATTGCATACACTGGCCGTTCAAAAGCGATTGCAATCTTTATTTCTCTTAAATACTATGTGTATTTCCAATTACAAAAATTTTCAGTACATTTTAGAGAATTTTATGCAAAAACTTTCAGTACCAATTCTTGTCAACATCATACCTAGTAGTAATTATAATTAATGTGACTCAGCTAAAATTGATATGCCAAGCACTCTCCTTAAAGACAAAGGAGCCCAGAATAAAGTCTACAGTAAAACCACAACCTTTTTGCCATAATATTATCAAAATGAAGATGATGTTCATGCATAGCACTAAAATTTGCAGTGCCCAATAGTTCAAAGTAGTTACTATTAAAGCAAAATGTGCCTTATCTGACAACGAAATACTTTTATAGCCACTGATAAATTGTCAACGGCTATTCTCGGCAAAAGCTGGCAAGGAAAATTTGTGTGTTGATGCCAGATTTAATGGTGCATCTTTGTCCCATATGGATCTTGTATGGGTACCACTTTGACAGAGACCAAAAGATAAGACAAATTGCATAAAACTACTCATGCATTTCTAAAAAAAGTACTGCAGACAGTTAGAGTGGTTTGAAATCTGTTTTTATCCTCTACACATCCAATTATCCAATCTCTTCAAATTAAGTAATATTTTTTTAATCATTCCTTGGCATAGGCTCTATTTGCATGTCTTTAAATGTTGTTATAATTGCAATACAGCTAAATTATAATTGAATTCTCATTTTAAGAAACTGACCACTAAAACTCAATCTTTCTTCTCCAAAGTCATTGGGGAAAATGATTTTATGGCATTGATTACTGGCATTTTAAAGAATTCTTAATTTACACATTGCCCTTTCTACACTCTATGAAAAGTGCCATTTATAGTAGGTCGAAATTTGAAATATTACTTTTTATTGCAGTTCCTCCCCTATGGTCCATGCTGTGTATAAACCGATTTCAATGAAATACATCAAACAGAATAAAATTATACAGGTTTACCACTTTGCATCTGATATTTTATATGGTGTCCATTGAATAAAATTTTAATCAGTTAAGTATTATGTTTTAGTTCTGCAAAACATTCTGTGACTTTAAATGCAAAATTTGTTATGAGATATGTTATAGGTGATATTTTCTCATTTCGAAAACCCATTTGGCTGAAAAAAGACAAATTCTGAATATTTTTTATTAAAGGACACAAACTTGTTTAGCAAGTATCTGAGAGTTAAGAGTTAAAATCAAACGGTTGACGGCATAATTGTTTGGGAATAAATAGGAACCAGTAGCATGACTTGCTAAAGTTCTGAAATTCTGGCACGTACACTCTGCACCAAATTGCTCAATTTAATTCCAGTCTAAATTATTCAGTTTTCATTGGTTTCAGAAATGGTCCTTAAAACTTGTTATTTCAGCAAGAGATTGATTACTATAAGTTTACTAGCATTTTGTCCCCTCTACATAAATTTTACCTCCAGAAAATCATGAGAGTTAAGTTACACAATGTATATTACATCTAAGGAGAGGAATTAAGAATCTGATGGATTACAATTATGAACAATTATTGTATGCATGTTTAAAAAAATTAGTTAATTTTATTTCAATACTATTCATTTTACTCACTTGCTATATGTTTCTATCTAACCCTAACTTACTTTTACAACCTTCTAAATGATATGCTGAGACATCTACAAGGGAAAACATGTAAGTAAATATCACATCCACTTTATCTTGATTCAAATTCCCATTTGCAGACAACATTTTTAAAATCCATATATATATATATATATATATATATATTTTTTAACTAACTCAATGAAAAATATTAAATTGTCCGGAAAATCTGTTTGACTTTCATTTCAGTGAACTTTTTTTTTTTTTTAACTTGTGTTTGCAAAAACAGTCTCATTTTGATTTCTACAGATAACCAAATCGTAGTAATAAGATTCTGTTAATTTTGTTAATACAGTCAATAAAAATGTATTTGACTGATTTACTATGTCTACTAGCTTAAAACATTGCTATAAAATATTAGCAGACATTCAAATATTAAAATATTATTTATGACTTCTTTATTTGTACTTTTCATAATTCATTACTTCTTTTTTGTATTCAACATATTTTAATAATCAAAGCTAAACTGACCACTTTAATTATATTTGAATTTAGATCTGTCATGTATTTGAACTACTGCTAAACCCAAGTAACCAAGTATTTTCAAGTAATCTGCCAAAACCCGACTCCTGAGCAAATATATTCCATATTTAAACATACTATCATGCAAGAAATTATCCCAATTACCACAATTAAGACAGATTTTTCATATCCTTTTGAAAAAAGCATGTCAGTGAGTTGTGAGGCACACAGGAAAATCTAAATCTTAAAAATTTCCAAATTCCGGTATGAAAAGAGAGCTTTATCTGTCAAAATAATAATTTATTTTAGGTTACTGATGTGTATGTCACTATATGAATAATATAACCATAAGCATTAAAATGCTAAGTAATAAAAGTAATGCCACATTTAGACTGCAAAAATATCACTAGTAGTAAATATTTATTGCCATAATTCATTAAAAATGGTTTAAATGTATACATACGAAGATAAATATGTTTTATTTTTCCAAAAGGACACACCAGTTACCTTTATCATAATATGAAGTAATTATAGTACCACCACTTTCTGTCACTAAAGATTCTAGTTCACCTTTTGCAAATACATGATAATACCTATGGTGTACATTTCCACTCTTTGCATGAGTTACTTCATAAGGTCCCTTTTTTTCTTTCCATGGCACCAGCATATCTTGCTGTATGAAATTAGTTCTATTTCTATGTACAGGCATTTTCAATACTTTTGTTGATGAATCATTGAATTGTATTTCAGAAGATTCAAATTTTAAAACATCCTGTTCCATTTCAAGAACATTGTGTTGATGATTTAGTTTATTTTGTTTCAAGTAATTGGAAGGGCCTTCAGCCCCTTCTTGTTCAAAAGCCCAAACATAAATCAGTGCTTGTCCACAAGGTCGCAATACTCGCACAATTTCCTGCACTGCTTTAGTTCTACGTACCTGAAAATAAAAGTTTTAAATATAGAAGGCTTTTAAATAATAAAGAGGTCTATTTCAAATTCTAATTTGCTATAATGAAAATTTTAAAATACTCAGTTTTAATTAAATTATTAATAAGAGTGCCATGAACTGAAACAGGTATTAAGGCAGCACAGTAAAATTCATAATTGTGGGCTTACTTCCCAGAGCAGTAGCTCCCAACCTTTTTTCTTTCATATACCCTTTAATAAGACTATGCAAACACAGAGTACCCCTAACCTTCCTCTTCAAGATTTATGACTCTCTAACCCCTGCTCCCGTATTCCCACAACATATCTCACTAACTGTATTACAAGCATGAAATAAAAATCCTATTCATTCTTGAAATAGCGTTGCAACATAAAAATATGAAAGCTTATAACTAATAATTCCTAATACACAAAATGAAAAAATACGTCATCACAGTATATGTCTAAAGAAGAAAAGTACATTAAACAACAATCTTAATGAGATAGTTTTGACCTGATGTTCAAATCTTATTATTTATATGCTCTTTGAGGCTGATTCGTTGAGTTCAACCTTTTAAAGTTAATATCTGATTTGGAGAGATGCAGTGTCCAGTTTCTTATGATAACTGCTTTTAATATATATTCTAATCTTACATATATGCAAGATTAAAATTTCTCTTCCCACAAGTTCAGGGTCTGTAACAGCATCAAACATTATAATGGTTTGCCACTTCCTTCTTCTTGTTCTTCCCTTGTTGAAATCCAAAAAAAAAAAAGTAATATGTTCTTTTTTAAAAGATGGCCTTTCAAGTGAAATAATCAAAAGTTCAATAACTTATTTTTTCTCAGGATTCAGTTGTCCTTTTCTCTTCAATAGGGAAAGTAATGTTTGAAAGACACTTACAGGCTTTTTAATATATTAAGTTCTCTTTAATTTGTATGTAAGATGAAGCTCATTTTCTGGGATGAAGTTGTAAAGTGTCTCAAATACTTAAACTACTGATTTTTTAATACAAGTTTCCCCAAAATCTAACTTTTTAGTCTCAGAATTAATATTACTAGATACTTTGAAAGCAATTATAGAACCGTTACACTATAATCCTAAATTTATTTACTTTTAAGTATGTAGGCTATCCAGCTCCTCTCATAATGCTTTGAATAGTCTGCTGCATTGGATTTAACCTTTCAGTAGGAGCGATATTATTAATATATAGATGGCACTGATTGTTTTCTCTCTAGATGCTTTGTTAAATATCACTAGCTCTGAGCAAGAAAATTAGAGACATTTTGAAAAGGAAAATATTCATGCATCTTTATAAAAAATTTCTGTTTTACACTGATGTTTAAGAAAATAATGAAAATGTTATATTCTATATGTGATGTATGGGGAAGCCAACCAACAAGATGTATAGAAGGCGCTAGCTCTCAATCTGAAGGCACCAAAAGTTTAGTTTCCAAGAGGGAGACCGACAGAGAGGTCATAGGGAAGGCTCGTGGGAGCCGTTAATGAAAACGAAATTAGCTTGTATTACTTAATATGTATATATATATGTATTTCAGTTATTAAATTGTAGTTTTAGTATCAGTTTTGTGTTTGTGCAATAAATGTTCAAAATACGAGAAGGTGGAGTTATTTCTCTATGAGGCAGAGGATGAAGAAAGGGGTGATATTACAATATAATAGCAAATAATAAATTTTATAAAAATAATATTTTGTTATTTGCCATTATATTTTCCCATGTTATTAATCTGTAAATATAATAATGTTTCAGTACTGAATTTTTAAAATGTAACGAGACAAGCTAGATAATTAATTCACAAATCAATAAGGCATATAATATTATAATAATAAATTTAATGAACACCTAAAAACCACCTTTTGTGTGTGATGGACTTTGAAACATGGAATGGTACACAATGCAGAATTCTGTACTGCTAAAATCTTCTCCATTTAAATCATCATCTAAATTTTCAAAGCAAATATTTTTACCTGAATCCAAATCACTTTCATTATCTGAGAACAGACTTTTGACTTCAGAATCACATTAAAAAAATGTACTTTAACTTTCTCTTTGATGCCATTTCTAGTTGTATCAACAGGCACTCAAAATATAGCAATAAAAATTCCTGAAAAAAAGCCAAATTCACCTTTATTATGCAGGGAATTGTCTAGTACTCCTACTACCATCTATACCAAGTAAAATCAACTAATATGAGTATTCAACTTATTAAACCATTAAATTATTAAAACCATTAAATCATTTCAAAGAATATGGCCACTTCGTCTGGCACACGTCCAATTCATGAGTGGATTCGTTTGTGCCCACTGTGGCGCAAAACTGGAATATGAGCTGAGCTTGTTGATAACCATCAAAAGATTAATTAAATCAATAACTTTTGTATATTTACAAGTACTTCTCTCATCGACTGTGATAAGGGTTTAGAAGCTAAAGCTTTACTTATGGATGCAGTAATAAATTCTCAGCTTCATGGCACTGTGACTTCTTTAGATGCTCCCTCTAACACCATTCCATGAATTTTCCTTCAAGTATACAAACACCACAGCAATTGGCTCAATCAGTATCTTTAACACAAGCATAATCATTAATTAAATAAAGATGTCCTTCCTTATACATCTTTTTGTGAGAGATGTAGATGGAACATACAGTAAGAAATTTTCTCAATCTTTATTATTATGTGCGGAATAAGAAGCAGGATCAAAAAGTTCAGTTCATCAACCTATAGGGAAAAACTGGACTTTTTTAATTGCTAACAGCTGTTGATTTAACATGAAATCTGTCCTAGGTTCTTCAAAAAACTATCATTTAAAACTAGAAGGCTGTTAATTTTTAAAATATATTCTTCCCCAAACAAATATTGAACAGCATCTTTAGTACAAGTAGTTACCAAATATTCAGCAACTGTATAGTTTCTACAGCTTGTAACAATCCAGTAACTTATGCTGTAAGATGCTTCAGTAATGTTTCTGTTGTCTAGCTCAAAATAAGATTTTACATTAGAACCTTTAGACAGTGGTTGAGAAGCTGAAAAAGGTCTTTAGCGATCACTTGACTACATCACTGGACAAAGACAAAGGAGAAGAGGTGTTGATGTGGCTTGAGCAGGAGAGAAATGGACAACAATTGGAGTTCAAAGACACTCCCGACTTGATGTTTGGAAATACGCTGTTCAGAGCTCTAGTTACCTTGTGTTTGACAATCTTCTTTTTGACATGTTTGAGTAAATTGTGTAAATAAATTCTGATCTTAATATGAATAATGTTGCATGCTACTTTATGAAGTTTTACCAATCATCTTGGATATAGCATAAAAATGCTAAAAATCCATTCCTTTCAGTTTGTAACTGAGATATTTGGTTTTATAAATGATGATGAAGCTTTCATACTTCTATTTGATAAAACTTCCTGCAAAGCTATACAAAGAGAACTGGAGCTGCTGTCACCTCATGTGAATCTAGCAGGTTCATACTATAAATACCCATCAAAATACTTTTCATTTCAGTTCTCAATAGGTAGACCAATGGATTCTTTAAAGTAACTGTCACAGATGCAAAATCAGAGATATTATACATGGTAGTTTAAGTACTATGCAAAGATCTACTTTTTAACTAATTATCCATTTTCATATAAGCAACACTTTACATTTAACAGTTAGTTTAAAAAAAAAGGCCACTTAAACTCCACACTCAAATTGATTTGAACAACAGAACTGTTCAGAAAGAGAACTATGGAACTCACTAAGTTCAATAATTTTAAAATGCATACCTTAGTTGACATATGATGTATTACAGCAATGCATATAACAACATCAGCACAGTTATCTCGATAGGGTAATTTTAAACAATCTGCGATTACAACTTGAGTATTTCGTTGAGAACAAAGCTGGGCTAAGTTACATGATGCATCACATCCTATCTAGAAAGAGGGAGGAAAAATATTATGCAATTATAATTTGAACCCTAAAATAAATAACAAAGATGTTCTTCCTCAAATATGAATAACATTGAAATTGTTCAACATTTTATAAAATCCTTATAACATTTTTTGTTGCAATAAAGAATTACAAAAATGTACTTATTCTCTTATTGCAATATTAATATAAATACCACCTTGAATGGATAACTGTTTAATGAAGACTGTCAGCTGGTTTGAACTTCAGGGTGAAAAATCAGATTTCATGTAATGCTTGGTTATTTGTATATGTCATTCTCCCATTCATGCAGGTATAATATCAGTCACCTAGTGTGATGCACACTAGATAGTGCTCTTAGTGATGAAATAGTTAAATAACCAAGAAATTCAGTCGTTGTAAAAAATTATGTTACATTGCAAGTGTCCAACCATTTGTTAAAATAATAATACCGTTAGTATTCACTAAATATGTAATGTTTCATCAGTTCACCTTTGGTAAAAAGGATGATCAGAGACTTCATAATATGGACTTTGTTAAATTCTGACATGTATCCATGTATCCGAAAATCTTATCAGCTAAATCCTACATGGCAAATCATAATGAATGTTGGTGTAGGATCCAGGATATAAAAGGCCTGCTTTGTAACATCAATAAAAACTGTACGGACTTGAAATCAATAAATAAAGGGGGAAAACGTATTGCGCTTTTTTATGGAGAATTAAGATTATGCATACAAGTAAGTATGTGTACATGGTGATTTGGGTTGTACATTCACAGCTTCTGAATGCTCATGATGCAATCCACTTATTAACCTTTTTATTCAGAATTTGTTTTAGTATATAATATTCCATGCATTCCTATAGTTATGCTTGTTAATGTACTGCTTTCTTGCTAGTCCCCATACCCCTTCTATTACTTTAGAAGGGTATACCTGTAAGAAAAAATAGCGCAATAAGCCAGAAATACTTGATAACGTACAGGATGAAATGCGAGATCTGAAAGAAATGTAAAAGTAACTTCCCCCAAATGATGACAATTCAAATACTGTAAATTAAGTATTATTTATTATATCTTGACACCATTAAATTTTGAATCAATACCAGCATAAATTGCCAGACAGAAGATTAGCAATCGTGATCACATAGCAGCCGAAAGAAACAGACCTACTATTTTGAATCCTAACCTTTCGTACGAGAAACGCGTAATATTCCAATCAAAGTAGATCTCAGTTCATCATCGTTCAGCAAAGTTTCATGATAAAAAAAGTCAAATTTTATAACAGAGGAAATTGAGTTGACTGGTTATTCCAATATATTTTTGAAGAAACACAAGGCAAATATTCATATCATCAGGAAAGTGGAACACGTGCACATGAAGTCCTTTCGAGGATTTTTAAACTGTAGAACATCGATAGTTTACAGCGGTCTCCAAATTAATTTAGTTGAATCTTCAGTACCAATTTTTTTACTTGGAGGTATGCATTGCTCTACATACAATATGGAGATGGCAGTCAAAAAGAAACGTAAAGGAACCAAATGGCACAAGCATCACGCAGGATGAGGACAACCAGAAGACCATCCTATACCTTCGGAGCCCAGCAGCAGAAGGAGGATAGCCATTAATTTCGCTCTGTCATTGAACGGTCACAGTGAACAGACTTGAAATTGAATAAATGTGGAGGCTTGCCTGCACATTCCCTCCGGCCAAAGAAGGAAAAAAACGTAGCACAGTTCACAAAATCATATCAAAATATTTTGATGAAGCACAACACTAATTTGCAGATGAAACTTGATATATTTGAAATCACAAAAATCAGAATTTTAGGATCTGTTGTCCATTTGAAATTAGCACATGTTAACTTAATCGAATATATCTGTTTGGTAAAATCCAAATTATGATCAAATATTAAAAGATCAAAATCTCATTGTCTGGCATAAATATATAAAAAATTTGGGGGGGGGGATAAGCTGCTACACATGTGAGTCAAGTTAAAAATTAAAACTAAGAACTAATACATAAAATACATGTTTCACATACAGTAGCATAAATTTCACTACAATCTATCATATCATTTTATCAACTCTTAAATACCATACATTTTTTCTTATAATATTTGTAAATGCGTAAGAATGATTACTCTACAATTTTCTTTTACAACTTAGTTATTCCAAATTCTCAAATTGTTAAAATAGCACAATTTTCACTACTAGCTGAACACTTGTAATAACCACTAAGTGTTCTAGAATTTTTTTCCTTACTCTTCTTTTTTTTTTTTTTTTTAATTCTATGACCTTAATCAAGGCGGACCACCCTGCAACTGACCAAACGTATAAATGAAGGTGGCCAACCTACACCCATACTAACCAAGAAACTCCAAAAAAAAATTTAACTGGAACTAAATCCACTACATTCATAATCAAACACAAAACATGTGTGAATTTTTTTCTTTCTTTCTTTAATTATTATTATTATTATTATTTTTACTTAGTGAAGAAGAAAAACAAGCTCGATGAAAACAATGCTATAAATTAGTTAAGTTTGACCTCAGCTCTTTTAAATAATTTACTACAATGAATTTTTTGAGTTTTGCTGTCAGTAATATTTTGAATTAAATAATTTTCATTTCGAAAAATTTTTACGATTTTGAAAGGACCAGTGTATTTTGGCTGTAAAGCATGAGGTGGTTGTAAAGCCTTTAAAAATACTTCGTCTCCAATGTTAAATTTATGAATTTCTCTGCCTTTCACAACTTTATCTTAAGTTTGAAAATACTCTTCATTTTGTTTCACTAATTCTCTAGTGGCTTTAATGTGTTCCTTTTGATGCAACAAGTATTGTAAAGGATTGTCTACTGCATGTGGTTCATTATTTAAGTCTAAAGGTGTATTGAATTCTCGCCCAAAAAATAACTGAGCAGGAGTGAAACTTGTTACTATGTGTTTTGAACTACTGTAATAAAAAATGCCAATCTATCTGACCATTCAAAAACTTTATTAGATAATGAAGCTATGCTATCTTTCATAGTTCTGTGAACTCGTTCTATGATCCCATTAGATTGTCGGTAATAAATGGAACTTTTCCTGTGTTCAACATTTAAATCTTTTAAAAAATTCTCAAACTCAGCCGAACAAAAATTTGACCCGTTGTCAGATAATATTATCTTTCGAATACCGAATTTCGAAAAATACAGATTCATACATCTTATGATTGTTGCAGAAATGATGTTTGTTAAAGGAATAGCCTCTAAATATCTCAAATGATGATCAATAATTGTTAAAATGAAAAATTTACCATCTTGTGACCTGAGTAATTTACCTACAATGTCAATTGCTAACATTTCTCCAGGGGCTAAATCAGACTTTTTTATATTACTTGTGACTGTTCTAGAAGATTTGGGTTTGTTCTCCAAACATTGTTGACAATTTTCACAAAAGTTTTTTGTGTCTAAAAACATGCCCTTCCAGAAATATTTCTTTTTTATGAATTCATAAGTCTTGTTGGCACCAAAATGTGGAGCATGAGCAATCTCTAAACAAGGTTTCACTAAAGAATTTGGAAGTAGAATTTTGTTTTCTAAATGCCTTGTCTTTAAATGATGTGCTCTAGGTCTTCACTTAATCATTACTACACCATTTTTCTGATCAATAAAATATTTGCTACAAATTTCAGAATTGTTATTGTTAATTTTGTTTATGATATCATTAATGATTTTATCATCTTTTTGGTGATTAATTATATTTTGAATGCTTAATTCATTATTCTTTGGTTGAAATAAGTTAATATTGTTTACATTATGAGATTCTTCAGGAACTCTAGAAAGAAAATTAGCAGGATTAGAAAAACCAGGTATGTGCTTTAAAGTATAATCAAAATCTTGTAAATACAATAATCATCTGGCAACAATATCAGGCAGCTTATCCAATTGCATATGAAAAGTGAGAGGTTTAGCATCAGTTAAAATAGTAAATTTTTTCCCATACAAATGTTCATGAAAATATTTCACAGATGAAAATATAGCATAGAGCTCGCATCTAATAAATATATACCTAGACTCAGCAGGAGTAAGAAGTTTCGAATAAAATTCTACAGGAAAGAATTTGTCATTGATTTTTTGCAAAAGAATCCCACAAATAGCTACTTTAGACGCACCAGTAATTCAAAAAAAAATTTCATGATTATCATCAATGTTTTTTATTGTTGGCTTTTCCAACATTATTGATTGTAATAGATCAAAAGCATCTTGACAATCTTGACTCCAAACAAAAGGTACATTTCTTTTAGTCAAGTGTACTATTGACTGAGTGATCTCAGCAAAATTATGGATTAAGTGCCTAAAAAATTCATCATACCAAAAAAAGCTTGAACTTGTTTAACATCTTTTGGAATAGGGAATTTTGAAATCTTTGCTATATTATCTTCAGAAGGAGAGAAACCTGCTTTGGAAATGTTAAAACCTAAATAAGTTATATCAGATTTGCATAACTGCACTTTAGCTGGATCCAAATTAAATGCTCTTAGCCTATCAAAAACCTTTTGAAGAATTACCTTCAATTCAAATACACTATCAGCAGCAACAATAATACCATCCAGAAAAAACTGAACATTACTACCTTTGATGTCATTTAAACATTTTGAAATTAATGTGTGGAAATAAGAAGTACTATTGCGTGAACCAAAGGGAAGTCTACAAGGATGAAAATTACCAAGTTCAGTGCAAAATGCCAACTTTTCTTTATCGGACTCTTGTAACTTAATTTCGAAAAAAGCTGATTTCAAGTCGAGTACACAATACAAATTCCTACCAGCAATGATGTGTAAAATTTCAGAAATTTTTGGTAAACAGATTTTGTATGACTCTGTGATGCTGTTTAATAGACGACAATTTACAACTATACGAAATTTTGGTGTGTTTTTATCCTCACCAGGTAAATTCTTTTTTTCTGACAAATATAACAGGAAAACTATAACTGGAAGAAGATGTTTCTATTATGCCTGCCTCTAATAGTTTTGCAATTTCTTATTGTGCATACTGTTTAGCAATTTTAGGAATGGATGAGGTCTCGTCTGAATAGGAAAATTATGAAGAAGTTTAAATTCTGGCTCAACTTTATCAATGGATTCTAAAGAATTGTAAGAATTTGAAAATACAGCATAGTTATTCATTAACAATTCTATCATTTCACCTTTTGCTTTTTCATTTAAATGATCTAATTTAAAATCTGATACATTTAATTCTTTTCTGAGCTTAATTACTTCTTGAAGATTTAGTGTACTGATTTGTAATGTTTCATGATTTTTTGGATCGACAATATCTTCAAAATGGAATGGCATAGCAGTTCCAATGACAGAATTCTTTCTTAGAACTAATTTTTCATTAGTATTATTTTCAATGATAGTTTGAATATGGTTGTAATGACCAACTGTGTGCAAAGATTCATTGATGTGAAATCTATTTTTTGATGGTTTTGGACAAAGTAAAATTTCTTTAAATTGTGTTAAAGCCTCAGGTACAGCTAAGGAAATGATCTGAGATTGACCTGGCATGACAGTAATGTTAGAAACCATTCTTACTGCATTTAAACTGCAATTTTTCTTTTTTGTATTGTAAACTGAATTAGTTACTATTTTATTAGGAGAATTTTCCTCAAAGTCCAGATGAGTGTTATCAATTACAAGTTTCTTATTTATGCAATCTAATAAAATTCTGTTACATTGAATAAAGTCATACCCTAGAATCATCGATACGTGGAATTCCAATTGTTTTAAGTAACATAAAATAAACTAGTATACCATTTATTTTGAATTTCAAGTCAACTTCAGACAGTAAAGTCTTTATTCTGACCATATGAGAAACAAATTCAACTTTACAGAATTGTTTAATTTCCTCAATAACATCTGGTTGAACCAAAGACAAATTAGCATCCATATCAAGAAGAGCTTCATAAGTCTGAGAACCAATTTTAACTTTAATTATTGGTAAATAATTAGAATTTTCAGAGCTACAATAACAATTTGGTAACATTTTTATTTTCATTTCTCTTATTTTCTACTAATTTATTTTGGAACTGATTACTATTTCCTTCAATCATTTTTTTATATGTATTTTGTCTGTTGAAATATTTTTTATGCCTCCAGTCTTTACGGATCCTTGCAAGGGGTCTAAATTTAGTGTCATATCTCTGGCAAGAATCCTTAATTAGTTTAAAAGATTGTTACGCCCTCTTTTGTACTGATTGTTACCACTGTAAGGATGATAAGTCCTACGCCAATTATTATGAAAGTGTTTATGACCTCTGAAAGTTCTACTAGGATAATTATGTCTATCTTGCTTAGGAAAATACCAACAATCTGTTGTTAAGTGTCTTTTGCTACATATATGACAAGATATATTATCAAATCTGTTCATATTTTGAGATGTATTTATGTACATTTAATATATTTTTCTAAATATTTTGAACTTTTTAAAAATTTACCTATTTTTACATAACTTTTAATAACTCACAATCAAAATAATCTACTGCATATAATCTCTTTTTACTGCTGACTTTTACATATGTTCTGCTTTTATGTAAGTCAGTAATCTGCATTTTAAAATTCATCTTTTCATATCAATAATGTAGGGAAAAAAAAAAAAAAAAAAAAAAAAACAGAACTATTGCTTTAGCTCCTTATAAATTCAAACCTCATAGCAATTAGATGACAACTTCATATTTTTTCCATTGCCACAACCAACATCCAGAATAAGAGAACCAGATGGAATACTACTTAGGAAAGAGGCTACTTTAGGCCAAGGTTTATATCTGGTTACACTGAAATGTTCTGCTATTTCTTCATAAACCTATAAAATAATAGTTAAACACACAGTTGGTATATTTATTTTTATAAATACAAAGTGAATTAGTATAGAAAATCTTTCAAACATTGAATAAAGCAGTAAGAAAATGTCTCTGAAAAGAGTGTGTTAAAAATTAATGACAGTTTTTTAAGAAAATTAGCCTAGTCATGAATTTTTTGAAAAAAAGCTATAATTTAAAATCTCTGGCCACAATTTAGCTCATATTAATGGAGTTAAATAATATACATCTATTTTTTACTGAAAGCTGAGAAAAGCAGATGGTATAATTTAGAAACTATGTTCAGTTTTCTTGGCATAAAATAACTATAACACATTTTTGTCATGAGTGTGCTTGCCTTTCTATTCAGAGCTTAGCGGGGGAAGGGGAACTCATCAGTTTTTTGCCATAACATTAAAAATATTTGGTTGTAACAAAAGATTTCCACCAAAAATTTTTCTTAATAAAGACACATGAAAGCAGTATCTTCAGTGTGGGTAGCAATCACCACCCAAATCTATGATTTTCTGGACATGTTTTGGTAGTTTTTCAAAACCTTTGGCACAGAAACTTGGTGGTTGCAAGTCAAAAAACAGATCAACATCATTTCGGACGTCCTGTACAGAATGGAATATAGCACCAGCAAGATGGCAGTGAATGCAGACACATGTGGTCTTGCATTATCTTGATGGAACATTACCTTTTAGTGCCACAAATCAATTAGACATTTTTGCTTGATAGCAGCGTTAACATGGACTAGCATCTCACTGTACACTTTACAGTCAAGGGTTTTATCTTTTTCCAGATATTCTTTGTGGATAATTATCACGGCAATCCCACCACAGTTACAAAGCATGATCTTTTTGTCAGTCAAATTGCGCTTTGCGACGCTGCCAAAGGGCTCACCGGCACAGACTAAGTCCCCTTTTCGGCCTGTGTTGTTGAAGTAAATCCACTTTTCATCACAAGTGATGATCTAGTTTAGAATTTTGTCCTTGCATTGATATTCGAGCAGATTAGTGCAGGCCCAAACACGTCTGCCCTTATCTGCTCGAGTCAGCTCATGCGGCACCCAGCGATGGAACTTGTACCTCAAGTTTATGCGATGCATAGTACAACTAATGGTCATGGAACTAATGTCTTAACTCCTTAGCAAGCTCCAGAGTGGTTAGATATTGATCTTCTTCCACAAATTTTTGCAGGCGGGCCTCATCAACATCAGTAGGCTGGCCACAGCTACCTGTGCTTCTTGAATGTCATGTCCTTCTTTTCAAAACTTTCGTTTATAAACATTCACAGTGTCATATGATACAACATTAGTATCTAAAGCTGTATACATAATTTGGTGACATTCTGTAGGTGACTTTTTGCAAAAGAACTGGAAGTCATGAATGTTCTAATCTGGTATCGTGTACTCGATAAAAATATTTTTTTACAAATTTCACAACTCAGTGTTCTAAAGCAAGTCTCTTTCCTTTAAATGCCAAAACTTGACAAAACGTGAAATGTTTGCACAAATGATATTTCAGGTAGCGGGCTTTCATAAAACTGTTCCAGCCAATTAATGCATTTTCATAAAGGCAGAGTTGCTTTTCCTACTACTTAATCAACATCAGTTCCTCCACCCAACAATAAATAAATTGCTGTGCTGTTACAAATAATAGTCTGAAACCACCAAACCATTTGTCAAAACATATGATTTTTTTTTTCATATGCAACTTTTCATGCCCCTAAGTTGGTCCTCCATCAATGTAGAAGAAGGGCAGCAATGCATGGGTGGCTCTCCTTTCTATGCAGCTAATTGACCTGACCCCTGAGCTGCCCTATTCACCCTGTCCAAAAGCTGGGAGTGGAAAGTACGAGGGAGATTAGCTGCCTTCATAGGACCTGAACTACCATTTCTATAGTAGTCTATTCAGGTATGGTTGTGACTTTTAATAGTATTGTCAAATTTGACTCCGGCTGCGTGATCGCTAGACCGAATTTAGATACCCTCATGTGGCAGAGTATTCAATCCTGTTTGGAAAATGCCCTAATTGGGTCTTGGTTGGAAGTTTTGTGTTTTTTGACTGTTCACTGCAACTTTTCATCTTACACGCTAAATGCTTCCATTGATATGTGATTCATTTCACTGATATATAATGACCCTTTTCTCATACTTAAATGCAAGGTAAAATGCATCCTTCTTGGAGGAAGGATACAGCATCTTCCTCCCTTCAAAGTAAATCAAACATTATCATTAAAAAAAAAAAAAAAACTATGTTAATATATGGAACACTCAAAGCTCTTCTCGTGACAACAAAATTATAAGTGTCTGTGAATTGTTAATAGCTACACAAAAAAAGAAAATACAATAATACATGATATACTTGGAATTCTTCCTGTCACAAGCAAATTTAAATATTTGTTATTAGGACTGGCCATTTAAATATGGTTTACTTTTTTTTAAATTATGCCAGCCTAGACTCTTTTGAGCATACAGCACCTTGCAGTCCAGCAAATAAAGAAAACTGTTCCTGTAGTTGGAAGAGTCATAAAGAAGTCCAATGAAAGAACATCTTGCAAAGCAGTATAAGAAAAAAGATGTCTAGTCACTGGAGCAGAGACACACAGCACAAAGTCTGAGGAATCAGCAAGTCCAAATCTAAAAAGATGAGCCTGTAAGTAATCATGTTGCATCATGAATCTGAAGGAAGCTACAATAGCACTTGGCAGAGAAACACAGATGATTATCCAATAAGGAGCACAAATTCTTCACAGTTGCAACATCCCTGTAATAACAAAGTCTGGCCTTATGGATGCACTCTCTAATAGTCCATTTAATGTTTCTAAGAGGAACATCTAACTCAGGTTGATTAAAACCACAACCCTCCTTAGTGAGTGCATCTGCCTTCTCATTGCCAGGAATATCACTGTAACTGTGAATCCATTGCAAGCTAACATCCCTTCCTGGCTCAATTAGAGAGCTAATCAGTAATTTGCACTCAGTGGATATAAGGTCAATATAATCTGTAATAGTTTGAATAGCAGTGTGAGAATTCACAAATAGAATAATATTATTTTGTATTTATATAAGTTGACAATTTATTGATAACCTTCACACCATTTAGACAATAGAGGGTGTAATAATAAAAAAAGTACCATTATGCCACTAGCTGACAGCACTTGAAAATATGTAAAATACTAAGAATGTGTGCAAATATTAAAGTTTAAATCACAAGCATAAGAACATTAAAATTTAAATTATGAAAAAAGTTTTTAATTTTATTTGTGAATTATTTCCAGTATTTATCTCTGGTTATCTCACAGTTGACTATAACCACAAACTAAGCTGTAATTCATAATTACAGAAATAAATTCCTATCAAACCAAGCTGTAATTGTTAATTATAGAAAAACATTCCTATCAAACCAAGCTGTAATTGTTAATTACAGAAATAAATTCCTATCAAACTAAGCTGTAATTCTTAATTACAGAAACAAATTCCAGTCAATGTCATCATCTCATACTGTCAATGCAAAAGAAAACTTGTGAAAATTGGAAAAACTTCTTAAGCACCTGAAGATGAAATAAAAGGATAATATTTGCAGTGGTTTTAAAAACACTTATTCTTTTGGATTCAAATGGATAATATAATAGGGTTTTCCTACTGGCACTTAGTTCCTTCACAAATGAGATAGTAGAGATAAAAAAAAAAAAATCTGTACACTTAAAATCACTAGCCTCATGAAAGTTTATTGCCAGACACAACACTTGCCAATCCTGAAAACATAAAAATATAATACACAGCCAAGGTTTATGAACAACAGCCAGGATATATGAATAGCAGCAATGGATACAACAAGCTAAGATTGCATGCATTCTAGATATTTGGAACACATGAGAAATCACCTTAAGACACAGCAAAATCAAAAGCACATTTATGTAATCACAAATTAGAAAAAAGATTTCTGAATCAGAAATCTGATCAACATCTAAACAGAGTTACATCTGAATGGCACATAATTGAAAATGCTAGCAAAAATTCCTTGGGCAAAAAATTTTAAAATTCTTATGAAGCTATGAGAAACAACACATATTTAAAGTTTCACTTTCAGTATTTCCAAATTACATTCCCACTAGTCTCGAAGGAAAGCATAATTTAAAGCAAATGAAATGCTCTCTCTATTTATTATTTAAAAGTCTGCATTTTATTTTACAGCAATTTTCATTATTCAATAATTACTTTAAATATTTTCTTCTGTTATTTTTCTTAAATACTTTTAAACAATAATACCTAAATTCACAACAGAATTCAGAAAAATCAATGTTAGTATTTTATTTCAACACAATCAAGCAACATTTGAGGAGAACTCTGCTTTGCAACTTTTAATTTACATACATTTGAGTTTTTTACAATGAAACCTGCTTTCTTATTAGATATTTTTTTTAAAAATTCTTTGCTCTATTTGTTTTCTATGTAACAGTTTAAACTTCAGATTTATTCTTGCACTATTTCAACAGTTAATAACTAATGAAATGATTTATTTTCCAAGTGTTATAAACTCTCTCTTTGCAGATCTGTTATTCTTAATAACTTCTTTACCCTGCTTTCATCCTAATATTTATTATGTATTAAGAAAATAAGTATGAAAACATGGAAATAAATTAATTAAATGATTATAATTCTTTCTTTAAGTGCTTTAAATTAAGAATCGCCCTCCCAACAAAGCTGAATAAAATATTATAACAAATGGAATCATGCAAGTGACACTACAAGAAAAATATTTACCTTGTATTTCCTCTATGCTTTTAATGATAAAATTTGTTGATAACCAGTTTTATGTTATTGTATTGTAGATAACCAGTTTTATGTCCTTGGACAAAATGCCCTTTTGTGAACAAAATTTATATTTATTAAGATTGAATTCAGTAAATTACCTCAGATTTTGTGTAAATTGCAATAATAGCTAGATTCAAGAAAATAAGCGATTCAAGAGATGGGAATCAAAAGTTTAGTGTCTAAAATCCTCATAGCTACCGTGCATAAAAATAATGTGCCCAAAAAGAATTTGTCTATCATAGCACCCACCTTACTTTTTACTGCTGTTCTTGAAAAGTCCTGCATTTATGTGAAGTTTCATGTATTATTAGCATAGTGAAACAACAATAACTCATATCAATTTAGATTTTTTTTCGCTCTAGCCACCAGCCAAGATAAAAACAGTACAGAAACAATTCTATTTTATTTCTCAGTGAAGGCTCTGTATGCTCGCAATGTCTGAATATTAATTAGTTTGAAATTAACATTTTCAATAAAAAATACATTATTTGTAAATACAGGGGTGTTTGTGGGACCCCAAAAAATCCCCTGAAACTTTTACGGACTTAATACCGACATTTTGGAGTTTCGAGAAGGGGGGGAGAGAAATGAAAAATTACAATTATGAAGTATTGAATGACCTAATTATAAAAGTTAAATGAATTACTTTTTTTGCAAAATTAATAACCATAAATTTTCAAACATATAAACTACTACATTTTATGTAAATATTTTAAATTACCTGAATTAATTCTTTAAAAAAAAAATTATCTAATTTCTGCTGCTTTTTTTATTTTCTGATGTTTGTGGGCTTGTCTTTCTTTTGTGGTGAACTTCATAATTGCAGGAAGGTTGACTTTTATTTTCCTCATTTACAGTTGAAGAAATTTCCTCGAGAACTGCACATGCAGAGGTAGAAGCAGTTTGCTTTTCTGCTAATGTAGAAGGTTTTTCAGAGACTTTTATAGGTGACTCACCTGAAATACATGTTTTTAAGTCCTCTTGATATGTTTTCCAACTTCTGTTCATATTCAGTAAGAGATCTTTGTGAATTGGATCAGTCATTGGATTTTTTTAGCCATATTTTTCACATTAGGTTTCTTTAGAAGCCATTAAATCATATTTAATAGTCTGCACTGCATCTAGGGAATCAATCTTAAGAGAGGTTCTATAGTCAGTGACAAGTGTATCCATTAAGTTGAATGCACTTTCCACTAATGGGCCATGGAAGCAACTAAGGCAGGCTTTGACCAATTTAGCCAATGTAGGATACTTATAATCATTTGCGAAATCATCTTTTAAATTAAAAACTTTAGACCAATATTTATCAATTGTACACTTGACTTGATTTCCACTTTTATCAGATGTGTAGAGCATTTCTTTGGTGATATCAATATCACGCTGGCATAACCTTATTTCAGCTTCTACTTTTGACTTTTCATTATCACTAAAAATATGGGACATAAAAGATGATAATTTTTCAAAAGCTAATATTGTACTGGTTTTACCTCTTAGCTCTGGATCTAATGCTCTAAAATTAATTAGATATGAATTTTTAAGGGGTAATTTCTGTTTCATATGCTGTGCTGTATTAGTATAAGCTTTCATCAGAGAAATTTGGAATTCTTTTGCTATTGGCTGATTCTTTGATAATTTCTTCAGGAGAGTGGAAGCTTCTGCACCAGTAAATATTACTTTGCTAGGTAGATGGAATTCTGGATTTGTGACATCAACCTTTAATAAATCATTATAAAATGTGCACTCTTATATTTTCTGGCTTCATAAAAAAAGAGAAAAATTTTGCCATCAATTTATAAATACTGGAATGTACGACGGCAATCCCAAAAAAAGGTCTCCTACATTTTTAGATATACAAAGAACCGTATATTTTCTATAATTGCTACATCACTTTAAAGACTGAAGAATGCTTTATTTTTCAACATAATCGCCATTTCGGTCAATGCATTTTTGTAGACGCTGCGGCAGTTTTACAATGCCCATGTCATACCAGCTTGCCGCCATGCCCTTCAGGAAGCGTTGAACCTCATCTTTCACCTCATCATCTTAGCAGAACCGCTGTCCAGACAAATGTTCTTTCAACTTAAGGAACAGGTAGAAATCGATGAAGTTCCAACGAATATTTGGAAGGAGATCGACGGTTTGACGGGCGACGTGAGGACGGCGTTATCGTGGAGAATGCTTACACCCTTGCTCAACATCCCTCTTCTCCGATTCTGAATTGCCCTTCTGAGTTTCTTCAGTGTTTCACAGTACCTGTCAGTGTTGACTGTTGTCCCAGCAGGCGAACGTTTCTGACATCCATGCACGACTGACTGTCCATACACTTCCGTCAATAGACGGTGAATTTCAACCGGTTTAGCGCCTTTTGCATTCAAAAATCAAATAACTGCGCACACTTTGCACTTGGCGGTAACGTTTATCGGGAGCTCCATTTTGAATGGCTGCCAAGCAAGACTGAGCATCCGAGTGAAGCGCCTGCATGCTTATGTGGTAGCGGAGAAGGCACCACTCACAACAGTGTTGCCAACAACCTTATTAAACTTTCTGTACGTCCCCAAAAATAGGAGACCTTTTTTTTTTGGGATTGCCCTTGTATTAAATGAAGCATTGGTTTTTTTGTTTCAAATAATTTAATATATGTGTTGAACTCTGGTAATACTGCTGAATATAATGCCATATGCAATAAAGTTTTGTTTTGCATAACAAATAACCCATTTAGTATTTTTTTTTTTTTTTTTTTTTTTTCCGAGCTAAAGCATCCTTTGTGAGTTGTTGGGAATGCAAGCAAGAATACACCCCTTCAACAATTTTTTTCTGAGCTGCAGAAATATTTCTTTTATTGTATACAGTTTCAACATATGAAAAATAATCCCCTTTATCAGTTTTATCCAAGTAGTGAAAATAAAATGCAATAAGAGCATCCCACAGATCTTTGATTCTTTCTAAAACACATAAAATGTACACCCACCTATGGTCTGGTCTCTTCAAGGGCTTAAGTTTTTTAATGGCAAGGGATTCACAGATTTTGAACAAATTTTCTCTTTTACTGACGCTTTTCATATCAAAATAGATGTCATCAAACAAATCTTCTAAGTATCTATCAAAAGATGAAGCAAATTTTTTTGCACAGTGATTAGCTGTGTGACATGTGTCACCAATATCTAATAAGCGAGGTGCTTTGTTTGATCGTAGTCTGGTTTCAACACCCTTTTTTTTTCCACGCATGGTGTTACATGAGTCCATTAATACACTAATTAAGTTTGCCCATGGAATATTATTATCTTCAATAGTATTAACAACTGCTTTAAAAACAGCTTCTGAATTGCAAGATTCCATATTTAGAGATGCAAATTGATGAACTACAACTTCATTTTGATTGTTGTCATAAAACTGCACCAATATTGCCAGTATACTTTCTTTAGCATTGCTAGTACTTTCATCCAAATTTAGAGAAAATGGAGTCTCCTTTACAGTTTTAATGATATTTTACTTAATAGTTTTTGCGAGCCCATATTTCATCTTATAACATGCAGTAGTCCTGGACATTTCCAACGAGTTTAGTTCCGTCTGATCGCGGCTCAACTGTTTGCAAAGTTCAATTCAATTGGGAGCTACATTGAAAGAAAAAGAATTCTCGGCGATAAACGAAGTTATTAATACCTCTTGGCGTGCTTTTCTTGTCACTGTATCCAATGGCCGAGCATCAGTCTCCAGTAAGTCATCAGTATTTTTTTAATTAGCATAATTACTTAATGTCATTGAATGTCTAATGCATTTTGAATATTTATGTGCATCACAGTTTTAGAATGATTTGTGAAAGCCTTGAATCCTTCCCCCACCATACTTCAGCAGTGAGTTACAAAAGACACAATATGCTTGTCCAGCAACATTTATTTTCTTGCACCATGTGCCGATGGTATCCCCATTACCATCTCTCCGTTCAATCCAATTCCACCTAAATGCATTCCGGACACCTTCTTCTAATTGTACAATATCACTATTTATATCGAGAAATTTCATAGTGAAATTCTCTTGCGTACACAAATAAAAAAATATTTCAATAAACGAAACGAAAAATTTACACGTGCATCAATAAATGAAACAAATTTTACACAGTGGAGAAAAAAAGTTGAGAAGCGATCAATGACAAATAGCTAATACGGCAAAAATTCCCCCTTCTCAACTTATTGGCGCCATGCCAGGAGAGATAAGACCTTTGAACCCAGAGTCACGTGATCGCACATCTGGTCGAACGAAGTCTCTCCCTTTTTTTTTCTGCCACGCCTAATTGCCGAAAAGAATCCAGAAGAGAATGTTCGAGAACCGGGGGAATGAGTCATAACTCGCAATAAGGAAAGAACAAAAAAGAAGTTTTTCCCCCTTTTCACGCATTATCACTCACTGCCTTTGGAGAAAGAAAGGAAAAGTTTTCACCACACACACTGACCTTGCGTTTTCTGCTTTCAAAGCAAACAAAATTACCCAGATCAAAATAAATAATTCATTATTATTCCTACTTCCTTTTGAACGACGATCCCCGGAATCGAAGTTCAAAATCCCCGGAATTCCGGGGTTTCCCCGGAGCACAAACACCCCTATAAATATGCAGCAAATTTATAAGTTGTGCATAGCAGATAACAAAACCCTTTATTATGGTTTTGATAATGAAGAGATTAATTACATAGTCTTTATACAATAAAATTTATACAAATTTATACAATAAAAGTGTTACACAAATATTATAATTTATTTTCCCTTTTATTACGTTTTGGAAAATTTAGGTATATTGTACTTTTCTAAACCTAAATTTCCAATCATACATGAATAAATCCATTAAAGCATCACTCATCATTTTTAAGAATAAAACACAGTATGGAAAAAGCATGCTTAACAAATCAATGCAACACATTCACAAAGAAGAAAAAATTGGAAAACGAAAAAATTGGAATCTTTTTGACATATTTAACACATAAGAGACCACAAAACGTAATGAAGTTTACTTGGTTAACATATTTATTTTCCAGTTCTTTGGCTTCATCTTCATTTACTAATTCCTTTGTTGACAAACTATACAAATAAGGAAAATTTTTGTTAGAAATTTTAGTTAATTTTATTAATACATGCCATTAAATGAAAATAGATATATAATGAAATAAAATAAAAATAGAAACTTTCAGAATTTACTCGAAATATTTTTATAAATTTACACCATCAATAATACTAATGTAATCAGCCAATAAATGGCACTGTAGAAAAGCCGCCAACAGAGGGCACATGATTGTAATACAGAATCGGAGAGTCTAGAGAATGTGAGTAAAGTGACCGATATTCCTGAACTATATGGATAAATATTTAGTAATAAAAGAGTCATTCTTCAAAGTAAAAGGTAAACACACAACCACCAACCATCCTGATGATCTTATAAAAATCAGAAGTGCAATGCGATGTGGATTAAAATGCCCATCGAATAACTCGCGTACCATGAGCATGAAAGAAGTTTTGATTTAAAAAATTTGAATGTAAGTGAACTGTAGCATAAATATTTTGAAATACCTTTGATAATTCTAACAGAGTATAGAATTATATTATTAATTAATATCATGGATTTTATCATGGAACACTAAGAAAGTTTCAGATAAAGTGAAAATGAAATGCAAAGGTTAACAACATAAGTAATTAACAGAATATCTGAATTATTGGAACAGGATATTGTAGATATCAAATCATTAGGAGAATGCGAGATGAATCTACAAGAAAAAGCAGATCAGATATTCAAGTGAGATCTAGAAATTGAGGATTCAATTCCTGAAGTATCTGATCTGGAAACAGAAGTCGAGAATGATCAGGAATACAGACAGCGCATTACTTACGTGAAAGCAAAAGTCAAGAATTATCTCCAGAATTCATATAGAAATAAGGCAGATTTGTCACTGTAGAGTAATTCTTCACTTATTTCAAATAGCGATCTAGAAAAACCAAGAATAATTTAGCGAAAATTCTTGTAGAACTGTTTGAGGGTAATTTAGAGAAGTTTCAGAAATTTTAGTCCCAGTTTGATAATGCAATTCACAGTTACGAACTCTTACCTACAGTAGATAAACATAATTATCTTAAAACTTTCTTAAAACGACTAGCCTTAATTAGTATTCAAGGATTATTGGTATCAGAAAATAATTATGCTTTAGCAGTGGAATGGTAATGCAACGTGATGAAGATGGAAAATGGCATCTTGCTTATTGCATCAACAAGAAAACAACAGAAGCACAGAAAAAGTATCATTCCAGCACATTGGAGTTAATGACAATTATATTGTTACGAAATGTACAGGCATGGTGAGATAACTTCTCCACAAAGCAGTTTTAAGGTTGCCATAAAATGGTAAGGGAAGGCAGGGTTGCCACATTTGGCGAGAAATCACCTGTTTGGCGACATTTGGCGATATGCCATGGACGGATGAAGAACCTTCTGGAACAAATTCTTACCGGTTTAGCCCAGAATATTCTTGAACACAAGCTGAAAGCTATATAAACCCTGCTGTCCGCAATCAGTTAGTGTGTGTCTCAGAGAGAGTGCGAGATAGTGTGTCTAATCTAGTTAGTCCGTGCGGAGACGATCCAGTTGACTGCCAGCCAGGAAGTGCCGAGTGGGTCGTCAAATGCATCAAAGAGTCTCTTAGTGTATCGCAGTTAGTGCATCGTCAAGATAGTGTGTTAAGCTCCGGGAACAACTGAACCAAAGAGTCGGGAGCTGTGCTCTGTGTGTCGTCGAGTGCATCGCGAGTTGTAGCGTGGAGAGTCTTGAGAGTATGTGGAGTTCTGAGAACGACCGAGCAGAGTCGCGAGCTGTACTCTGGTGCTTTGCAGTGAAGCTGTCTCCACCATTATAGCCTGATAACTGAAGAATGTGTCGCTGATTGTTCCAGTGAGTGTATAGTAGATCTTCGACGACTGCAAAAACATGACTTTGGAGCTGTCCTGATTAATATTGTCTAAATAAAGTGTGTTTCGCTATTGCATCAAGTTGTGTCGTTGTAATTCACTCTAAATCCGCATGAACCTGTACTTATGAACTGGTGTCGGAAGATAACACAACAATACGGATGTTGGGCAGGTTAAGACCATAGAGCTGTAATGTACTAGAGAGAGAAACGGCAACCCTGAAGGGGAACAGGAATGCGAACCACGTGACATTTGGAACATTTCACAGATCGTATTTCCCGCGGATCTTCCTTCCCATTACAGTTCTATGGAGAATTTGTGAGAAGCAAATGCTTTGCGTGTACGCGCATTGTTTCGGACTTCAAAAATGATACTTTCGTGCTCCGCATATAGATGAAATTCCAGATACGTGAAAGGTGGAGGAGTAACATTTCACAGCTGAGCTTTTTCTAATGTTTTAAAACGTAATTATATAAAATGTAGAGGTTTTTTTATCCACTCTACTTGCCGTTTTCTAACAAAAAATAGATTTTCTAATTTTATATAATATATGCATACATGAAATAACATTTAAATAAAAGTATCTTAATATATATGTATGCTTCTAATAACTGTGTTCCGAAAAAAATGTTAAAATTTTAGTAATACCATATAATTTTAATTAGTCTAGTATTCTGCTTTGGCGACATTTTTCATTCGCCAACAGACTGCTTTGAATGCGTTTGTTTATATATTCTTTGTATGCGTTTGCTTATGCGGACATGTGCGAAGTAGTAATGTATGTATTTAATACTTGGTAATGTTGATGTAACACTGTGTAAGAACTGCATAAAATTATGTTTTTTTTGGGGGGGGGACATGAATGACTTTATTTTATCCCCTTTTCTTGCATCCAAATATAACAAATATGTTTGCTTTCAATCACGTATTTTCTTTCTTATATCATGTTTCTGGCATTTATTCCAATATTAAGAATTTGTTAAGTATTAAGAAAATAGAAATTAATATAGCAGTTAAATTTCAAAACTTTAATAGTTTTAAGTTTCTTTTAAAAATAATTAACTTATTTAAATTTTTACCTTCTAAAATTTTTTAAAATAAGTGCGACTACATTGTGCAACGTGCATAATATATATATATATATATTTGCTAGTAAAAGGGAGTCTTAATTTACCACTTTTCAGTTTCATAATTCATTATTTACCACTCTCTCTTCCTTTTAACTTATATTGCTATACTGACCATTCATTTTAGTTCAATTAATCTAATATCTTTCTCACTTTGATTCGCCTACTCCGTAGTTCTCTGTAATACACCGTATTAACATTAAATTTCCTTTTTGTATTAATATTAAATTTCCTTTTTGTACTATTTTCTGTTTTCACTCATTTTTCTTAGGTTATCTTTTTTTTTTTTTTTTTATTATTCTGTCCTAAGTACTAAAAAACCTTCTTTTTTATTTATTTATTTTATTTATTTTTTTTAGTTTGTTATTAGTTTATTATTTATTATTTAGTTATTATTTATTATTTAGTTCGTTCTCTCCAGTTTTATTTTATTTTATTTTAAATTTTGTAGACGCCGAGGAAACATATTACAAATATTATTCTACAGCATGAAAATATTTAAATTTAAAAAAATTAAAATTTAAAATAAAGTTTAAATTTTAAAATAAAGTGTCCAATTTTAGGGAAATTAATAATTTTGGCTGGTGTTTATCGATCTAACCTCTTCTGCAAATTCAACGGCAGCTTCTGCGAAATGACATCTTTCCAAGTTCGCATTTCGAACTAAGAGAAAAGAGAGGAAAAAATCGCCAGCCATGGCGATAGTACGCCAAAGTCTGGGTTCAGTTCCATTTCATGCCCAAACTCCTGCAGTTCATTCCTGTGCCGCTTTTTCACCCCGGTTTTGAATGGCGATACTCCGTCTAGTATATAACAGGTCTATGGTTAAGACAGTTCTTAATCGGCAAAAGATTTACAATTATTACTGGCTGCCAAGCTCTCATATATATGAATGTAAAGAAGACTACAAATCCTCAAATAGCCCGTTGGGTGTAGTTAAATTCCAGCATATGATTTTGAAATAAAATATAGGCCAGGAAAAAGAATGTCCCATGTTGATGCTTTGAGTAGAGGTTCTGTATCAGAAGCCGATGAGACTATGATGAGAATAGCTGAAAATTTTGCCAGTCTCTAACCGAAGGAGAGCAAATACAGCAAAACAACATGGTGACCAAGACCTGAAAGGAATTATTGACATTTTCAAGAAGAGACAAAAAGAACAAACTGCTGAGGAGAAACAAATAAATAATAATTACGTGTTTAAAAAGAATATACTGTTTTGGAAAACCATAGTGGATGGAAAAGAGAGACATCACCATGTGATTCCTAAAAGCATGATGAAAAGTGTAATGGTTAAATTTTGTGATTTATTTGTCTCTTTTCTGTGGATAGAACAGTTAGAAAATTTATGGAATTGTATTGGTTTCCAGGCATGAACCGATACGTAAGAAGACACATATCAGTGTGCATTGAGTGCCTTATGAATAAAGTGACAGGTGGCAAGCAACAAGGACTGTTACATCCCATAAAACTTGGTAAAAGACCATTTGCTATTGTTCATATGGATCACTTGGGTCCTTCCTTAAAGAGTTCGAGAGGTAATCAAGAACTGCTAGAGATAATTGATAACATGACTAGATTTGTGAAAATTTTTGCAGTTAAGAATAAATAATATAAGTTAATAATTTGCAGTTTTTGCAGTCGTAAAAATCGTAGTTGTTAAAAATGTCTTACAGTCTGAAGAATTTTGTTAATGACTTTGGACCACCAGAAAGACTAATAAGTGATAGAGGATCTAATTTTACTTCTTATCAATTTAAACAGTATTGTACAGATAACGGAATACATCATACTTTGAATTCTACTAAACACCCCCAAGCCAATGGTATAGTAAAGTGTGCCAATAGAACAATTTTAGGAATGATAATGACAAACTTGACAGATAAAGAACACAGAGATTAGGTTTTGAAAATAAAACAGACAGAAAGAAATCTTAACAGCATGGTAAAACAAAACTAGGAATAAGACTTCATTTAAAATGTTATATGGATATTCGCCCAGA